CTCCAGAGGAACTGATCTCTGCTACCTGAAGAGCAGTTGTAATTGTGAGTGATCTGTAGCCCTCACCTGGAGATTGGCAGCAATTGTTACCCAGGACAAAGTGGCTGGTTTGGAGGGTGTAGTCTATGGCATTCTACCTGTCTGAGGTCCCACCCCTCTGCAAACCCCACCCTCTCCAGGCTCCACCCCTCAAATCCCCAGGAATTTGTCAGCATGTAGTTGGCAACCCCATCTCCTTCCCAGCTAACCATCAACCTACCATTATCTGCCCCTTTGACTTCAGCTGACTTCTGCCCTCCCTTCTGCAGAGCAGTTGTAATTCTGAGTGCTCTCCAGCCCTCACCTGGAGATTGGCAACAATGGTTCCCTATGTGGGACTGACTGGTTTGGAGGGTGGAGTCTATGGCAGTGTACCTGTCTGAGGTCCCACCCCTCCTCAAACCTCACCCTCTTCAGGCTCCATCCCTCAAGTCTCCAGGAATTTCCCATCTGGAGTTGGCAACCCTATCAGGACTGGCCCCAATGTGTTTTCTCCCAAAGGCCAAAGTAGGTGACAGGACCAAGCTTAGTTGCCTACCAACAGGCACTGAGGGGAAAGTAGGGTTACTAGCTCTAAGGAGGGAAATACCTGGAGATTTGGGGGTGGATTCTGTAGAGGGCAGCGTTGGGCGGGGGGGGGGGCGGAAGGACTCAGCAGGTATTATGTCATAGGGTCTACCCTCCTAAAGCAGTCATTTTCTCTAGGGGAACTGATCTCTGTCATCTGGAGATCAATTGTAACAGTGGGAGATCTCCAGGTCCCACCTGGAGATTGGCAACCCTAGGGGAAAGTCAGCTGCACAGCAGGGGGTTGAAGAGAATGGGTTGATGGCTGCTGGGCCAAGATTGGCATCAATAGTTCCCCAGGAGCCCCATCGTACATTAGCACCACAATTCCTAAAGATTTTCCGAAACACTACTCTGTCGATAAATTGCAACAGTTTGAATTAGCACCAAAGCTTTAAGAGCTCTCCAGCTGTCACCTGGAGACTGGCAACAGCTTGTCTGGAGTGTGGGCAGTATGGCATTGTATCTGTCTGAGGTCCCCCTCTTCCTCCTCCTCCTCAGACCCCACCCTCAGCAGGCTTCATCCCTAAAATATCCTGGAAGTTTCCTACCTGGAGTTGGCAACCCGATGTCCTTTCCTGGCAACCAGCAGCCAACCATTATCTGCCTCTCTGTCTTAAGTTTTATAAACCTCCCCCCCCCCACAGCCTCTGCCTAGGGAAAGGGCAGCTGACATCATTCTCCTCTCCCCTATGAGGTATGATGCAACTAAAAATCCCAACTGCCTTGCGGGGGGGGGGGTGAGTTTGAGGTGGGGAATGGAGTGTTGTCCAATCAGCTTCCATATGCAAATAACCTTGGAATGCTGGGCGGGACTGCACAAAGCAGCCAGTCAACCCAGCCAGTGTTACTGAGTGGCAGTTTTTCCGGCCTAACACTAAGGAGGTGAAATTTAGAATGTTCATATAGAATGTTCATACTCAATTATATATAAGGAGAGATGTTAATTCCTGATAACATTCCATCACAGTTGAAAACACTCAACAGCTCAAAACAGTCCATTAATTTCCCAAAGAGAGTTCATTGTCAGAGATTTTATAGAAAAATAGTGTTGTCAACCTCCAGGTGGTGTCTGGGGATCTCCCCAGATTACAACTGATCTTCAGGCAACAGAGATCAGTTCACCTGGAGAACATGGCTACTTTGGAATGTAGAGTCTATGGCATTGTACTCCATTTCATTGAAGTCCCTCTCCTTCCCAAACCCTGCCCCCCCCCCTCAGGCTCCACCGCCCAACATATCCAGATATTTCTCATCCCTGAGCTGGCAAGCTGATAGAAAAATCAAACAATGAAATAAGCGTCTATTGAAATACTGTTTTATCTTTTGGTATCAATGGTATACTTAATAAGATTATAACTTATCTTTAACTTTTTCAAATCAACTATTGAAGCAACATGACATATTTTAAATTTTGTGTTTAATTAACCATTGATAGATTGTTATAATGCTGTTTATATTCATGTTTGTTATAACCAAACCAAAAAATTTAAAAAATTTAAATCCAATATAAAGTTTCAATCTAACATGTTAGTAATACAGGGGCAGGGGGTGATTCCTGCAATGTCCTGCTGGCTAACAGTGCTGGGTTGGCACCCCAACCCCTGCTCTTCCCCCCCCCCCCAGCCCATATAGTCCTTTTGTCTCATGCTGTTCCCTGTGAATCTTACTTTCCTACTCTTGCGGGCCCAGCTAATCTTCTCTGGGCATGGGGGCTCTCCAGAGGGGTGGGATCTCATTCATGCAGAAGTGAAAGTTCCTCCAGAATTGTCTGGATCCCAACAAGATAAAATTGTGGAGCTGGAGGCCTGCTGAAAGCCATGGGGGGGCTGGAAAAGGATTCCTTCTGCCCCCTTCATCTATATACCGGTATATAAAATAAAGTCCCCTCGCCGTAAAATCAATGCCCAGGCCAAACCCCTGGACCTAGAATCACGAAATTCAGGGAGAGTACTCCTACCATGACATAAATGCTCACTAAGAAGAGATTTTTAGAAATTTGACCCCTAAGGGGGTCAAAAGGGGTAAAATGTGCTCCCCCATTGTTTCATATGTGGCTGCTAGGCTGCTGCCTCCTTGCATCCCCTACTCTCTGATTGGTCAGCTGCAGAGCTCAGTGTTCTGAGGTTTTAAAAAAACAGTTACAGGAGACTGCAGAGATCTAATAACAGTTGAGGAAATCAGGAGTGGCCAACTGCCTGTGAGGTGCAGCAAAGCTGCTGGCCCAGCCTCCCTATAGTTTCAAACACGCTCCCCCCTCCTACACCTGACAGGCAGTTGTCTGTCAGGTGCAGCAACAGTTGCATGGTGCTTAAAGCCATCAGGGAGCCAGCCAGCCTCCATAATGGCTTGCAGTACCCCGCCCCCTCCCCTCCTACGCTGGACAGGCAGCTACCTGTCAGGTGTAGAAGAGGGGGTGGGATGCTTACAGCCATCAGGGAGGCTTGCCCAGTAGGACTGCCTTAGCGCTGCTGCTGGCCCAGCCTCACCGATGCCTTTAAACACACTCCCCCCCAACACCAAACAGGCGGGTGTCTGTCAGGTGCAGGAGCAGGGGCAGAGCATTTAAATCCACTGGTGAGGCTGCCCAAGCTTGATCTCTGCTGCAAATTAGGTGGAAATCTTTGGTTGGTGAGGTAAGCTCTGCAGAGTGCTTCATCCCAGGTTAAGTCAAGAGGAATATCCAGAGGTGGAAGCATCACCTTATCTCGGTTTGCTACAATCATCATCTTAGTATTTTTAATAGCACTGCAACTTATCATAGCCCGCCCCATCGCCCCTTTCCCACTACCACCCTCCACAGCATTACACTGCCATCCCTGAAGCGCCAGAGTGGTGAAAACGCACATGGTTTCAGAGACTATTTGCAGCAGTAACTTAGAAGGATGTGGCCCAAAGCCACACAGCTGATAAGACTGTTTTGAGGAAGCACAGAAGGGTATTTTTAGCAGTCCACGGAAGACTGTACCAGTAGCCGTGACTCCAATCACACATGCTCTTTCTTGCTCTCAGCTGTTTCCAAAGAATTTTAATAAACCTCAGTTTGCATTTTGTGAGATTCTGGAGAGGAATGTCTGCAAAGGGGTTGCTTTCCACAGAAATGGTTCTACATATGGGAGCTTGCATTGAATTTGCAGTGAATAAAGGAGCTGCTGGAGGTAAAGGCTTTGATATACCATTTACGGCTATTAATTTTACTAATTGGAGTCTCTTTTTCTAACCACAGAGTACAAAAAGGCATTCCACCTTGGACAGTTATTTGATTTTTTTAAATTATTTGTTCAGACACTGCCCTTGCTATCTAAAGTGCGGCAAAAGGCAACCCAGACCACGGCCTTCTCAGTTGTGGCATCCTCACTTTGACTGGAATGCCCTACAAAATGAGAGTTATGCCACAGCAACAGACATGCCAGTTTGTTGCAGTAAAAATGAGCTGAAGTCTTGTGGCACAAATGAACAAGCAAAAGCTTGGAGACGCCAGTATGAAACTGCTGACGTACTTCTGAGTAGGTGAGCTCACCAAGAGATAATCTCATAACGGCTCAACAAGGGCTTGAGATTCCACAAGTGTTAGCTGGCTAAGCAAACACTGGGATTTTTTTTTTTTAGCTAGCCAAACAAAAGTAGGGAGATTGCCAATCAGAGCTATTGCAAATTGTTTCCATACATTAGACTGTTACTGGCCCTTTGATCCTGGTGTTAACAACTTTCTTTCTTCAAAATCCTGCTAATGTATGCCTGCAAAGTGAGGATCTAGTACATGCATCTCACAAAGTGGGTTCTAGTCCATAAAATTTTACAAAAACTTGTTGGCCTTTCAGGTGCCACAGGAATGCAATTTGTTGTTCTTTCTAAAGGGAGCAGGAAAATCATGTATCTGGTTCAGACGGACTTTTTCCTGCTACCAGGTCTACCTATCTGTACTAGCTTTATGGACAGCAGGAGGAACAGTGGTGGGGTGGTGGTGGAAAAGACCTGGCATGATGTGTTGACATTGTCAGCTGACATTTTGGAAACCCCATGGTAATACTCCTACCCTACCCTCAAAGTTCTTGGAGCTGACAGGCAGCAGCCAGGCATTCTCACAATGGAGGTTTCTTCAGCCAAGTCCTGAATGTACACAGCATCCAATGCAAAATGTGCCATTCTTTTTGGATCAAAATCGCCTAGGACCTCGTTTTTAGAAATACACAAATGGCAGCTAGCTGAAATGGGGTTCTTTATACTCACTACTTTTTAGCTGCTTTTCCTCAAGTTCTTTCACATCCTCTCTTGCCTTACCTAAAATTTCTCTTACAAAACCTGAATTTTCAATGATTCAATATTACCAACCTTGTTGAAATAGTTGGTTGCAGTTTATCCTGGACATTGGAACAGAAACAGTCACTTCTTACCGTAATATGTTGATAAGGATCTATAGAGGACATTTTGGTTTCAGTAGCTGAGCCTGGGACAGGTGACGAAGGAAAAGACCAGCTGCTGTAATATTATTTCACACTGGATAGTCTCCGACTCGAATTCTTTTCAGTACTGTATAATAATACAAACAAAACAGTGTTACAATTTTTGTGCATGACTCGGTTCTTAGGAACGTAAACAGTTATGGCTACAATGGGCATTTATGGACTTTATGTTGATTTGCCTGCTTGGGGCAAAGGCTGAGGTCATTACACACTAGTGGCTAGTGTGGGGAAGAGCCAATGATGATTGATCAGCACCAGTCAATGACAGGAAGTGCAGTCATGTAATCCTGGAGGCAGGAAGTTCCAGCCAAAGTCCTCCAAGATAGCATTCTCAGGATCCCAACCTTAACTATACATTGATGAATTGGCAGTGACTGATGAGGAAAGAGATCTTTGGGTCATAACGGTTAGTTCAATGAAAAGAACGATTCAGTGGATGGCGATGGTGAGAAAGAATTCTGACCGGCATTATTAGGAAAGTGGATGAAAAATCTAGTAATACATAGATCTATGGTGTAGCCACATTTGGAATACTGCATACACTTCTGGTCACTGTATCTCTAAAAGTGTATTGTAGCACTAGAAAAAGTATAGAAGAGGGATACCAAAATACTCAAGGGGTTGAAGCATCTTCACTATGAGGAAAGACTTCTTAGTTTGGGAACAAGATAACTAAGTAGGGTTGCCAAGTGTTTCTTCGCCGGGAGCAGGGGGCTCCCGGCCGCTCCCGGCTGGTGTCGGGTGTGTGCGCGCGCGCCGCATGCACATCTCCCAGAAGTGATGGGAGGACGCCAGGCACGCTGGGGGCGGGGCAACGGCCATACAAGGGAAAACCATAGAGTTTTCCCTTGTATGGCCGTGGCCCCGCCCCCAGCATGCCCGACGTGCCCACGTCACTTCCTGGTGATGCGCACACAGGGGTGGGGTTCCCCCCGGGGCCCGATTCCGCGGCGTCGGAAATCAGGCCTCCAAAGCGGGGGTTTACCCGCCCCCACCCCCACTTGGCAGCCCTATAACTAAGGGGGAACATAGTTGAGATTTATCAAATTATGCATAGTGTGGAGGGGGGGAACTAACAAATGAGAACTTTTTCTTCCTCTGCTTTGCTGCAATATTAGAACTCAGGGGCACCCAATAAGATTGATGGGCAATAGATGGAAGTCAAACAAAAGGAAGTACTTCCTCACTGGAAGAATTGTGGAATTCACTGCTAAAGATGCAGTCATCGGTTTAGCTGGTTTTGAAAGGAAATTATGCAAATTTATGGAGAAGAAGTCTATCCAAGTTTATTAGCCATGATTACTAAATGGAACCTCCGTGTCCAGAAGCAGTAACTCTCTGAATACCAGTACTGGAGAGCAGCAATGGGAGAAACATCCATCTCCATACCTTCCAGCAGCATCTGGTTGGCCCCTGTGTAAAAGAAGATACTGGACTAGATAGACCACTGGTCTGATGGAGCATGGTCTGTTTTTCTTATGACAAAGCAAATTTTAGATATCAGCTGAACTAGGATCTTCTCATAAATGTGTAGAAAAGCAATGCTGCTGAGTATACTCAATGATTGCACTTGGTTCACCTAAGTGCAGCATGGCTTGTTGCTTAAGAATGTAAGGAAGTCTAATAAAGGAAAAGATGTAGAATAGGCTTCCTTCCCTTTTTGTTACGTTTCCAGAAATTATTCGACATACTGAAAGTGCTGAAATGGTATATTTACCTAGTTTAAATGTGAGATGCTTTTTTGCAATAATTCAACATGTGGATAATTGGATATTGTTGGGGGGGAAACATTTTACCAGATTTTTATTGCACCTTCTAACTGTGAAAGCTTTTTAAAAAATCCACCATAAACACCATTATAAAAATCTCATGTACACCATAAAACTTAGCAAACAGACCAGATCAATCAAAAGTGAAAAGAACAGTAAGATATTTTTTCCCATCCTCGATTAATCCAGATCTTATTAACAAACGGAAGAGAACAGTTTTCACCTGTTCCCAGCATGAAGAGGAACAAATGAACATTCCAGATCCTGTTCCTAGTGAATGCCCCTCCTGTAACTACCAGAAACATTATCCTAAGCAGGGCCAAGCATAGAGCCTGGACAGTGAGGGTTTCATAAAGAACGAGGTACTCCCTCAGGTAAAACATTTAGAGATTTCCAACTGCAAGAAAGAGAGCTTTTGAAGTTCAAAGTGTTCTGAATTGTGCTCAGAAATGTGTAGATAACCACAGTAATTTTTAGAGGACAAGTATAATCCGTCCTGCAGACTGGCAACATGGGTGTTTTTTTTAACCAACTGAAGCTTCCAGACAGTCTTCATGGGCAGCCCTATACACAGAACATAAATAGTCATCCCATTTATTCAGTAGCATTACTTCTCCAGTACACCAGTCCCAAACACCCTACACAAAGGGTCGCACAATCCACCAGACTCATTGTATGGTAAATATATAAACAGCCGGAATCAGTGTTAGACTTATGAGAAGCTGTGTTTATGCTGGTTATATAACTCACATCTTTTTGTGGCTTACTCTCCCTGGTTTTTGTATGTTGTGTTATGTAATGTATGGATTGTAACACATGAAAGTACGTTGTGTTGTGTTGTGTTGCGTTACGTATTGTATGGACTGTAACGTATAAAAGAACAAAAGTAAATTTAAAAAAGAACATAAATAGTCTAACCTAGAAACCACAGCATCAGTGGTGGTACCAGTGTTCCCTCTAAGCTGAGTTAGTGTGAGCTAGCTCACAGTTTTTTAGCCTCCAGCTCACACATTTTTGTCTTGGCTCAGGAAGGATGTGGCTCCAAAGCAAACTGATTTATGCAGCAGCCAAATCGCTTGCTCACAACTTTAATGTCAGTAGCTCACAAAGTAGAATTTTTGCTCACAAGACTGCGCGGCTTAGAGGGAACATTGGGCCGTGGTACCCATGGGTCCCTGTAGTAGGCTCAAGTGGCTTTATATATTGTAGCTTCCTGAAGAACAGCCTGTGGTGCTCAAAAGATATCAAGTATGAAATGAGATGCAATATTTTGCATTAGATTTTAGTTGCTGTTCTTGTTGTTATTCCCTTCAGCTTTGTTTGGTGTAAAGCGCTTCTTTTGGCTGCTGTTCAGCGGGTACTACACACAGGAAAACTGCGCCACAGCACTTCAAGTTGCACACTAATTCCTGACAAAGGTTTGTCAGTTCACCTTGTCTTTCAGCAGTTCTGGCAACCCTATACTCAGTTACATGCTCTTCTACCACAGCACATGAATTTCTGACCCCACACGGTTTTTGAATTTCCATATTGTTAGCTCTTTTACTATTACAACAATGAAACCATGGAAGTATATCATACACTGTTTCCTGGTGTTTGACTAACACTTTTTTTAGTGCTGCAGAGAGACAACATCTAAAAATAATAATGGCACGCAGACTTCTGCCTTGCAAGCTGTAACTTGAGATACAAAAGCACAAAATCAGAAATTTCAAGAAATGCCAACAGCTAAATAAGAACATAAGAGATGCCAATGTTGGATCAGGCCAAAGGCCCATCCAGTCCAACACTCTGTGTCACACAGTGGCCAGAAATACCAGTGCCATCAGGAGGTCCACCAGTGGGGCCAGGACATTAGAAGCCCTCCCACCGGTCATTCCACTGATCCTTAACAGAACACCTCTGAGTGCACTTCAGGTGCTTAAATTTAAAAATATGATTAGGGATGAGGTTAGATTAGAGCAATAATCTGCAATGCTGTGCCCAGGGTTTCCTGGTGCCCATTTGCTCCTTGGACAAAGCATCTGTTCCCCACAGCCAAGAGTTCATCCTCATGTTCCTATACCTCACTGGAGCACAAGGTGCTTCAGAAGAACACTGGAAGCATCAGATTTGTGTTTCAGGGAGCATCCATTCAAAAACAGCTGCCTCCAGTGAAGGAAAATGCTTGGCTTCCAGCCTCACAGCATTTTCAGATTGGCCATGGCAGCCATTTTGTGGTCACCAACTTTCCATTCTTAAATTTCCAAAAGTGTCCATGGGCACAAGAAGACTGGAGGGCCCTGGATCAAGGACTGGCAACTGACATACCATAAGTATAATTTCTCCCCCCTCCCAAGCAATTTTACCTGTACCTTGATGGTCCAACCAACTTTCAATCATGGTGTGTCATTTCTCTCCAGCAATAACAAAGAGAGCCACCCCACAGTGTTACAATTTTGTTTGTTTGTTTGTCCCTTGTATTCCAGGGGTACATACATGTGTCCCATGGTTAGGAAGCAAGCTGCATGATGTCAAATTATTTTTTGAAGCCTGATACTTCAAGCTTCTGTAGGAAAATGCACTTCAATCCCTTGCCAACCCCTAGAGTACAATCTGAGAACAAAACATGCAATGTGGCCATTGTTGAGTTAGATCATCTCAGTTTCTCTACTCTGTCTATCCTCTTTTGTTTTATCACTTTCTACTAATGTAGTGCCGCGTGATGGAGTGAGCTCCCGTCTCTGGCCCCAGCTCCTGCCAACCTAGCAGTTCGAAAAAAAGAAACTGCAAGTAGATAAATAGGTACCGCTTCGGTGGGAACGTAACAGTGTCGTGTGCACTTTGGCGTTCAGTCATGCCAGCCACATGACCACAGAAATGTCTTCGGACAGCGCTGGCTCTTCTGCTAGGAAAATGAGATGAGCACCACCCCCTAGAGTCAGTTTTGACTAGCTTTCGAGCAAAGGAAACCTTTACACCTTTATTAATGTAGTGGGCAATCCAACTGTTTTGGGGAACATCCCGGGGGGGGGGGGGGGGTTCAGCCATATGGGGGGGGGGGGAGGTGGCAGCCATATAAGCAGTTCTAACAATGCATCCACGAAACAGCCCTTGTAAAGATTGCAAAGCAACTATCACACAAGTTTCCTTTTATAAATATCCTTTTTAAGCTTCTTCCACGCACAATCTATTTCAACAAATTCCTTTCATATAGATGGAGGACAGATACATCAAGCTAAAAGAAACAAAGAAGCAACTCCAGATGAGTGAGCAAGGGAGCCCTGTTCCAGTAGCTTTGAAGTCTGCATGTCTCCAC